CTTTTGGATCAGGAAAGGAGTGGAATTTCTCACCGTCTGAAATCATCTGAGGTGAAACATATTTCAAGATAAAAGGCTGCTCTGGAAAAATAAAACTGAACGTCCTGTTCTACTGCTATACGGTAAGATTCTGACTTCACTCAAAAAAATGTCTTTTATAGGAAATCTATACATTTTCCACATGAAATGTCATTGAAACCAGCACTTTCCCATTTTTTTTAAGGATGGCACTTGCAGCTAGAAAAACACTTAGCAGCAAGTGCCTGCAGCAGCTCCCAGGAAGATCTTGGTGGGCCCCCGGACCGGCTGGAGAATCTCACACCTCCGTGGGAAGGATGAGAGATAAAGGAGATGGGACCACTTAAGGCCAGAAGAAATGTTATCCTGCACTTTAGATCTTTTCTGCTGTGGGGACCCATCTGAGAGAGGGGGAGAGGGCAGCACAGCGTGTAGATGGCACTCAGTCATTTATATTTTTTGACAAGAAGATTAAATCCCCTCGAAGCTGAACACTAACCCGTGTGCTGCACCTTCTCAGGAGCTTTAGTTTGCTCCTCAGAGGACTATAGAAAATACATCTACCGGAAGCTATTAAATGCATAGAAGCAACCCCTGGGTCAGGATGGATGATGGTTGTACTGGACAACCACTCCAGCACTGAACTGGATCTCAATTTTATCAAGCTGTTGGCTCTATTCCTCAAAAATACACAGATAATCACTGCCACCTTGAAGGAAAACATCCTAAATTGCTCCCAATTGCAGTATCAGGTGCAAGAAGCAAATTTCTTTGCTGGCTGAGCAATGCCCACTCCAGATTTGAGTTCCACAACGGCACTGCTGAAGCACAAATGTCTTTTGAATCCCGTCTCCGCTGGCAAAACCCAGCCGTGTCTGCCAACTCTCTTAGCTGCTGTGTGGAGTTACGGTCATCTTTAAATACCCGGTTTTATTCCAGAAGCTGGCCCTGGCTTGAGGAGGTAGGCATCGTCACAGCCATCCCCGTGTGACACAAATGAAGCACCCAGCAAGGACAGCAACAGTTCTTGTGACACCGCTACCCAGCGGGTATATGCGAGCCCACCCCCCACACACCCCCTCAGCCCCAGCGTGCCACAAGTGCTCAGATCTGCGGCGAATTTAGCATTGCATACAATTACAGCCTGAAGCCAAAAATAGCCTGAAGAGCACTCGTCTGGCCTGAGCCTCCAGGAGAAGGGCAAGGGTTTTGCAACGCCAGCTAACATTTGCCTAAAATAGAAACAACCTGCCTCCAGGGTGTCAGGAAAGCCCCCAACCCTGCCCAAAACATGGGGTGTCATGAGGAGGGCTGCAAGGTGGGCATCCCGGCCCCCCCGAGCCACGCTCCTGGCCTCTGGCTAACCCTGGTGCTCTCATCTCTCCACCTCCCCGGGCTTGACTTCTCTTCCCCGGAGGCACACAGAGCTCCCGACAAATGGTACTTTAGAGCCTGACTCTGTCCTGAAGAGCAAAAGGAGGGATTTTCCAAAACCACAGCGGTTCATCACCCGCAGCCCTCGTGCTGTTTCACTGAGGGAAGAAGGTCCCTCCTCTTCTGCACCTCTCTCTGATGTCTTAGGCAGCCAAGAGCAGAAAGCAGCTGCATCTGTACAGGCTTAAACAAAGGAATTAAGTTTAACATCTTGGGAATTAATTATTGCAACAGGACCCAGACCCAGGCAGGATTTGCATTTCTATCCCAGGCTTGGGCGGTGACTTTCAGCATGACAGAAGGACCCATTCCCTGGGGCCCTGTTTCAAATTCAGCAGTCTGAGTATTAATAGCACATTGCCATAGAGGCATGTCGCTCAGTACCGACTCCAAAACCTAGGGGAAGCTGAACAAGCTCCATCAGCACTCACACCTCGAGCAGGAGCAGAGCTCCTTCCTTTCCAGCTTTTTAGCGTACACCTGCCAATAACCACGGTGTGTCAGCATTGCTTCAGCTCTGTGCATTCCCTCTTACTACAGCGACGTGAGGACAACAAAGTCAATCGCTGACTCCAAGGCAAGCCAGCAAGAAGAAGTAATTTGGAGGATTCAAAGGAGAAAGGTTAGGGGGCTTTTGGTTTTGCTGCATGAATGTGATTACAGGGTCAAATATTCTTAAATCTCTGAGGAACAGGGTGGAGGGAAAATGGGAGAAGTGGAATACTTGTTTTTGTAGAGCCTAACGAAGGACCTGAAGAGTAATGGCAATTCCCTCCTCAGCTACAGCAGCATTAGATGAAGCACCGCCACCTATAGCACTTATAGAAGCGAGACTGAGCACGTGTGAACAAGAGTCAAACTAATTAGCAAAGTGAAGTAGCTGGAAAGAGCACGGTGCTGTAACACCCTCACCTGTTCTGCAAGAAACATAATGGCTGCTTTAGTCATTAAACCCCGGTCAAGTGGAATGCTTCCTCCACAAGAAGTTCCCATCATTAGAAAGTTGAGGCGTAGGAGAAGGGAAAGACCTTGTTTAACCTGAAGGGAGTGTTTATTCATCGATTAACGAGGCAGGGCGGGTCCACGGTAAATTATTAGGAGTGCACTCATTCTCAGTCATGTCTGCACAAACCTCTCCCAACAACCAACATTATTAGTTGTGCAACAGCTGGAGTCAAGACCTGCACAGAAGCAGAAATGAGGACCCTACAATCTTAAATTCTTGGCAAGTGTTTTCTAAAGCACCTCCCTCAGCACACCATTGCTCTCTTCTTGCCCTTTCAAAGCTGCATGGATGTAAAAAGAGACAGAAAATGGCTGAAGACACACCAGCTGGCTTCTCAACATGAGAAAGGGCTAAGAACCCTAGAAGTGAAAGAGGAATATTTGAAAACTAGCACTTTTTGGATGGCTGCCATCTACAAGCACAGCCCATACCCCTGCCTAGTGGCTCACTGAAGATTAAAGGGTAACCATGCTGTATCTGCCTGTGAGCAACTTTCCGCTACGCAGAGTGACTGGGATAGTCAGCAGAAAGTTAAAACACACACACAAACGTTTGAGGCTTCAGCACTAACCAGCATCCTTCATCACTGCTCTTACATGCTCTAAGCAAGGATGACAAAACAAGGCTACATCTGCATAAGATTTTATTAAAGTAGGCATCATCCACAACTTACAATATTTGAAAAAATATTCTTAACAACTTTTTTTTTTTCCCTGAATAGGTAATTTAACAGCTACAACACTCAAATATCATGAGAGAAGTCTCTGCCCAGAAGTCAAACTTCAAACGGGTAGCAAAAGTTAGACATTTTGTACCATATCAAATTGGTTTAATACAGAAAATACTGTAACAGTTACAACAGAACTTAATGGAAAAGATAGGGAAAAAAAATTACGTGCATCATTGGTCACAGGTTGAAAGCCAGAATTTCAAACGGGACTCAGACCTTGTAGACACATCTAATCACATTCCTCAATTACCACCACCTTCTTACCTCCAAATGACTCTCTGTTGCAATATGGTTTATTTCAGATTTTGCAAAATAAAAGTTTCTTAAACAGCTGCCCCTAAATGAAGTCAGCAACTTTTGGCAGAAAAAGAAAAAAAATTTTTTTCAAAATGCCATATGTTTGAGTTTTGCCTTCACTGTAACACCTTATCCAAAGCTTTTGTGCAATGCCACAATCAAAGACAGCGTGTTTCAGAAGAATGAACATTCTTGCTCTTCACTCTTGCTAGTATGAACTGGAGCTCTGAACAAGGGTGAGGGGACTAGACCCTGTGACTTTGAGTGAAGCAAAGAAATGGAGTGAGACCCGTCAACAACTCTTTATTTTACACAAAGGCAATGAGGAGTCCCCAGGGTCTGAATTATGAAAGACTGGAATGGACAAGACACTTCAGCTCACATTAAAGCCCTTCATCTGACAGCTCAGTGTAACAGTTTACTAGGAGATAATCCTGTTTTGGCAGGGCAGAGGCCAAAACCTGAGCCAGTCTTTCCTTGTAGGGTATGAATGGAGGGCCAACTTTGCTGGCCCATTGGGCCAAATATTACATTTGGACAATGTGATAGTTACAACAGAGGCCAAAGTTTAAAAACTTGTCCTTTCAGAAACGTAAACAATATAAAAAAAAAACGTTTCAATAACAGGCCATAACCTTAGAGGCTTTTGAGCTTAAATACCTGGGAAACGCATACTTTGCCAACAGATGAAACAATAAGATACATACAAAACCAAAAGATACAAGTTTAACAAATGTTTAAAATAATGGGGTTTCACCACAGAATCTTCATTTGAAGGTTACTTTCAGGAGAAAACATATTCCCTGCAGCATGTAGACTCCTTCACAGAGACAGAAATCTGGTCATGTCAGTTATCCACTTACTGAGGAAACACCACAGGGTTACAGAGGACGTAACAGACTCGCAACTACCAAAGCATCGTCACAGGAAATATAGCAAACAAGTTGTAGGCAAAAAAAATACTTGAACGTGTATACCTACACACACTATTGGAGTATACAAGACAAAAAAAGATGGAGAGCTTCATATAGGGAATTTCCACTCATTCTGAAAATGAAAGATATTTTTTCTTTGAAAAAAAATAAAATCAAAAGTTCCCAGATGCTGTTTCTGAAGGCATGCTATAGCTAGAGTAGCCGATGGCTCAGACTCGCATCCATGGAAACTGGTATTTTACCTAAAATGGCTTTCCTGTCTCTCCAGTTTGTCATTTCTCAAAGTCTCCCAAGCAGCTTTTGAATAAACATATCTTTCTTGCATGCATCTACTAAGACTCCCTTGTTAATCCCAGAATCTCCTGCGCATGAAACTCAGTGAGCAGAACAGCCCTTAACTTCAGCTAGAAGATGGTTTCAGCTTCTGGATCCCTCTCTAAAGAATAAAAGCGTATGACAGTTACACATAAATAGCATCTACAAATACACTTACAGTGCACGTGGAACATGAACAGGTTTCAAAGGCTGACTTGACTCTACCGTAAGGCTCCATCATCAGCCCACTTTTAAAACTTGCTCCAGGCAGTATACCATCGTGCTAGCACGGCAAACAACTGGGATAACCAAAACTAGTGCTAATTAACAAAAAACCCATACTTGGGCATTGCCTTCTTGAAACACACCCCAGATTCATATACACGTAACTCTTCAGATTTCAGATCTATCTCTGAGGTTAAACTGAAGGCAGCAGCACTTTCAAAGAACAGGACAAAGCTTAGCTTGTAAACCCTGGTTTTTAAAGCATAATGAGAATTCAAGTCCTATTCCCCTTCACATCTATAAGCATTATAAGAATAATGCTACTTTGTATGTCCTATGTATAGAAAAGTGTATTTTTATACAGCACTGTATATTTTTATATATATATAAATAGGAACTATCGACCAAAGTTTGATTTCAAACTAGAATTGCAACGACCCCTGCAATTTGGAAACATGAAGTTGCTCTTCTGATCTCTCTTTTGTAAGCAAAGAGTGGAAAGGATCATATCTTACTATGATCTAACATCCTCCATCAGGAAAAATGAAAAACCTATTGTTAACTTTGCAGGATATGCCCGAAACACCAGGTTTGACAATATTGCCCCATGTTGTTTGCCAAAGAAGAGGCAGGCAGCAAGAATGATTGAAGAATCATCAGCCAGGAGTAAGTGCTTTTTTGCTTTTTTTTCTAGCTGCTTAAGTGTGAAAGTTCAAGAATTCTGTGTTTGTCATTGGTGCTGTGCTTGGAGACAGTACCAAATGATGTTGTTTATCTAATAGTACATTCCAGCTACAGTACGTTTCTGCCCAACTCTACTGCTACTTATGAATATTAATAATTGACATGCTCTAAGACTCAGAAAATTATAAACTAATTTAGCCTTTTCTTCCTGGTCCTCTGTGGAAATCTGGAAACATCTTACAAAGTATTTCAGTTAGCTTGAGCAATCCTGGAGTCAGACCCAAGGAAGCTAAACATCGTAGTCACCAACTCAGGGAGATCATAATCATGTTTCCAACCCCAATCCCTCCGGGCGTTCCTGTCATCAAAGTTCATTGGCCAGCTGTCAGCTGCAGTGAAAAGAGAGAAGAAACAAAGAGCATGAGGTTTAAGAAAAACTTCTTTAAAGTTCAAGACATATCATCACTGGCCTTTTGAACTACTAAAGCTGAATTTCAAACTGTAAGACTTGAATTGTACAGGAGCAATTTGCAAGTGCCTAAAAAGAAAAGAAACTTTGTTTCACCCTGAAGGTATAGCAATCTAACGTTTTTTTCTTACCCACTGCCAAAGCTGATACTAACCTATGGCCTGCCTGACTTCATCCACATTGTAGGTCACTTGGAGCTCAGGAACATGCTTCTGCACCTCTTGTGCCAGCTCTTCAGGCGTGAAACTCATGGCACTGATGTTGTACGTCCTCATGCTCAGTGCCTCTGCAGGGGCCTCCATGACCTCTAAAGTCGCTTTCAGACAGTCATCAATATACATCATAGGGAGACGAGTGTCTGGCTTTAGGTTGCATTGAAATTTGCCCATCTTTATGGCATCGTGGAAAATCTGGACAGCATAATCTGTAGAAAAGAACAATGGATGTGTGTACTCATCTGCCTCAATCCATTGTTCACTTCATGACAGTCAAGAATCCTCAGGCCACCCCCAAAGTCTCCCGTCTAAAATCTAGCAGCAGAACCATGTACAATTTACGCTGTACAGCAGGAGCATAAGAAGTCATCCCAAAATATCCTGATGCTATTCTAGCATTTGCACAATGCAGCAAGACAGCAGAGTTTAAAATATTTTTAAAGGAAATGGTCTCAACGACTGTAATTAATCTAAAATCTCTCAGATACTGTTTAAATGTAAAGGCTATGAAATTATGCCCGAGGCTAGAGTGGACAAAAGTATTGTTGTAACACTGTTGAAATAGCATCTCTACACTGATGCTCGATACTCCCACAGATTAAATTTCTACAAACACAGTAAAAATTACTGTATTGGCTTATGTTTTTGCTGTAATACTGAGAACTATGCACAAGTCACTTACCAGTTGTTCCCCCACCAGGCTGAGAGTCAGCAGATATAATTCCTGGATACCTCAGGCAGCGGAAGTCTAGGCCGTACCGGTAATGGTAGTACTACAGAGGGAGGAGAGAAACATAGCTTTATGCACCAAGACAAGGCCACACAACTCATTGATTTCATGGGAAAAATCTGCCACAGGATGAACCTTCATTCTGTAGCCCTCCCACGACAGGGATGAAAGAAAAGGAACTACTGAACAGTCTCCATTCCCTGTCAGGTAGCTGAGCTCTCTGCTTACCCTTTTCTAGTTTTCATCCACATCAGCAGATATGGATTCTTGATATGGATTGGCTTCTAATGTAGGGTCTAGCTAGATCTAGTGTTCAGAAACAGAAAATTCCTAAGTTTGTGAGACATTTCAGGTTAATACAGCCTAATACTGCCACTGTCCTTCCCAAATTTCAAGTGTGAGGAGACTATGTAAAAATACCAGCTTTAACAATGTTATGTTTACATAAAACTCCAAAGCTGAAAGAGAAGTTGCGCACATACAGACTCCCACAGCTTTGACTTTGGAGCTGGGGTTTGGGGGAGGTTGGGGGGGGGGGGGGAGGACAGGGGAGCCCAAAGTCATCATTGTCTAGCATATTTTCACAACATTTTGCACACTGTCATTTATGCAATGCCATTCATATTGGCAGATAAGGCACAGAGGCCAAAGTCAGAAGAACCGGGGAAAGAAATTATATTGGAAGTTAGATGTTTGCCAGCTTCCAATTCTTTGTACTTTTTCCAACAAAACTCAAAAGATATTTGTCCTTAAGAGCTGTCTCAGACTACTATTGAGTACTAAAGCCTGAAGGAAGGAAAGAATGGGGAAAAGAACACTGCAGTGAGGAATCTTACAAAAGCAATGAAGTTCTGAGAGAACTTTCATGAAATAAATAAAATAAAAAATTCTCACTTCTCCCATGAGCTCCGCATGAACCTTGGAGACTCCATAGATTGTCCTTGGTCTCTGAATGCAGAGATCAGGAGTTGGATCTCGAGGAGAGGTGGGTCCAAAGGCTCCAATAGTACTTGGAACAAAGAGTCTCAAATTATGCTCAGCTGCAATATCCAGAACATTGTGTAAACCTGGAACAAATAACAGGATTTATCAGAACATACACTGCACTTTCTCAAGCCTCTGTAGGAGTCAGGAACTTGAAACCCTTGTCACATACCGGTAATATTTACAGCTCTAGCCAAAGGGACATTTGCTTCTCCAACAGCACTGAGTAAAGCACTATAGTGAAACAGCCAAGTTATCCGATTATTCACCACTATCTCACGTAAATTCTTGTAGTCCAAGATATCTGCGTAGATAAAAGGACCTAGAAGAAATGGGACCAGTAGGAAATTGAATGCCAAGAAGAATCATAGAATCGTTTAGGTTGTAAAAGACCTTTAAGATCATCGAGTCCAACCAATACCACCATGCCCACTAAACCACGTCCTGAAGTGCCACATCCACGCGTTTTTTGAACACCTCCAGGGACGGTGACTCCACCATTTCCCTGGGTAGCCTGTTCCAATGCCTGGCAACCCTTTCAGTAAAGAATTTTTTTCTAATATCCAATCTAAACCCCCCCTGGTGCAACTTGAGGCCATTTCCTCTTCTCCTAAATGGATGTAAAGAAAAGTTCTACATGAAACTCAAATTGCTGCTTCTTGACCATACCTATATTCAGGATTTGACTGCACAGCAGAATGCGCACCTAACATCAGTGGTCAATAAACTAGTAAATAAGCAGGAGAAATGAAGGGAAACTGCTACCTTTACCTCAACAACAGACTGCTGCAAGAACTCCTGTTTTATCCAGTCAACAGCATGAAAACAGGGTACATCTAGTGTACACTATTCAAATACCTAAATACATCATTAAACAGTAATGATGAAGAAAAACTTATGCAAGTTTCTAATGAAAGCAAAAGAATCCAAAAATCCTACTCCACATTTGTCTTATCATAAAAATTGCCTGAGCAAGGAAAAACAAAGCACAAATTTCATGTCCAACTTGTTCCCTCCAGTAGAATAAATGCATCTCTTTTTACAGCAGAAGCACAACAGCCAAGCTCCACTTGACTCAAGTAGTTATTCTGATCAACAAAGTGGCAAAGCAACAGTGAAAAAATGACAAGAAAAATATTTAGCAAAAGGGAATAATACACAGAAGAAATCAATGTCTTGGCAAGATTTCAAAGCAGGAAGGCATTATCCAGAAGTTTCAAACAGCAACTTGTGCAGTTTAATACACTTATCTTTTACATTTTGGTAATTAGTCTATCAACATCAGAGGTAAAGTCAAGATTTTTTTTCCATATGCTTCCCCAGTCACTTACCACTATAAAAAACATTATCCGCAGGCTTTCTAATGTCAGACAAGATCACATTGTTCTTTCCAAAGCGTTTCCTGTGTAAAAATACCCACATAGTACAGTGAGTCCACAGTCTTTGAGATAATTCATAAGTTGCTATGCTGCTATTTTGTTTTACAGGAGCAATATCAGAAGAAGAAGAATTTCCGCAATGCAATCGGTTATTGCACTACCCCCCCCAATCCTTTAAATGTCAACATAGCATCTTAGCAAATTAGTAAATGACTTCCAGTAGCAGTGAAAGACTGCATAAAGATAGAGAAATCTTTCAGAAAATAAAAATATGTCAAGAAGAAAAACCTTCCTACCCTCTTCTTGCTGAAAATTTTACCCAGAGATAATCTACTCCCCTGCAGACAACAAAAAGCCACTAGGCATGCTGTAACTGCAGCTACTTTTATATCAACAAAGTAAACACAACTGAGTATTCTCTGCCTTGCACTTTTCCAATCAGCAGAAAGCGATCACAGAGAGCAAGTCTGATGGCATTGGAATACAATCCAGCCTCCAATTAGTTGAATGATTTTTAAATATATCATGGAAATGGTAGAAAACATTCAAACTGCAACACAGCGTTGAATGCAGTAAGTTTGCTCACTTTTGGTCATAATCCACATCACCTACAACAAACACTGTCTCTACATGCAAATGATAGTCTGGAGCTGAGCAGGCGTGGATATGGACAATGATATGGGCCAGGGAGAGCTCTCAGAGCATTTTACATTTCTTGAAAAGATACCATGGAAAAAATAAGATAACTGTGTATGTGAGGCAGGGGTACAGAAAGAGCCAGAAGAAATAACAAAAAATAAAAAAATTATTTACTCCTTTTGCTACATCAGTTCATCTTTCACCAAATCATAAAAACTTCAATATCTTGTATCCTGATCTTTATTTTTGTTTGTACTTTACCAAATAGGGCACTTTATTCCTGAAGTTACTTAACTGAAATTCTCAGAGAGAAAAAAAGTCAGCAGTTGCAAAGCCCAACAGCTGGGTAGTTAGCAAAGGATCATGTATGTTTTCAAGTGGATGTTTGTACTTTTTTCACTCCTGTAGTACCTGCATAAAATCACAGCCTTTGTCTCTCTATTGAGCAAGCAAATCCAGCCTTATTTGGCTAGACCAAAAAAAAAAAAAAAAAGGAAAACTGACCATCCTCTGGGGATTCAGATTCTGAATACTTCCATTTAACTGGAAGCAAACTGAACTCAGCGGCTAGTCTCTTAGACAAAATTATGTTATTTTGGGAATCGTGACCAATGCACACGCAGAAAGTACGTCAGTGAACCTAAACCAAGCACAGGACTAAAAAATAAAAAGATGATGAAAATTTAAAGTTATTTACAAAACTTAGAGCCAAAAAAGAATCTGAAATTGTCACTAGGATTCTTTTATAAACTTTCCAGAAAATTATTGCTTCTAGAAATGATATCTAAAGCTTGAATTCCTCACTAATACCAAGTCAGAGATTCACGACATACCTCAGAAGCTTAGCAAGTCCCACTCCAAGCTGGCCAAGACCACCTAAAAGGCAATGCACAAGAGACAAAAATTAGAGAGAAAGTGAAATCAAAATACAGAGTTCTATTATTATATGTATCACATCAGGAACGAGTACTATTTTTCTCAGTGAGTCAGAAAGCTTTTGTATTTTTCTCAAGGAAAACCCAATGAACTGGTTTTAGTAGATTTCTGGAACAAAAATAGCACAAAAGTTCACATGGGACTCCAATCTTATCACCATAGGGGAAAGATCATCACAATTCCGGAATATTTTGAGTATTTTTTGCTTCCAGTATTCTGCTCACCAGGGAGGGAGGAAGGGAGTGGGGGACTTGACTGAGAAGCTGGAGCAGGAATACAGTTACGACAGGAATGCTGACCTGTAATTAGCACCCGAGGATGATCTGACTCGGAAAAAGAAACCGAGTGAAAGCTAGCATCAGAGGCCACCTGGCGAGGTGAGACTCCAATGCATCGAACAGGCACGATGGAAATCCCACATCCACAACCAGAGCTCTGTAGCAGCTGGCTGACAGCTCTGCTCACGTTTTTGACAATTGGCATCTTCCTTCTTCAAATATGCTGTGAGAACAAGAGAAAAGATTAGTCATGAACGACTCAACCATATTAAACATTTTAAACTCTCCCTTAAAAAACTGTGAAGGGTTTCAGAGAAGTTTGATGCAATCCAAGTCCTAGCTGACATGCCAACCGAAAGCCACGTCTACTAGAAGCAGCCTGTGAAGTAACATGAATAGAGGTAATGTATTCACCAGAGTGAGCTCAATAAAACATCCACAGCCCCAGCACAGAGTCCAGTATAATCAACAGTGAGAATATCATTCAAATTTAAGCCTTTTTAAAACAGTCACTAGAAACCATGATTTCAAGCACAAAAGACAACAAATACAGAACTCAACCAGTTAAGCTGCTATGATTACACAGCTTCACCGTAAGTATTTTTGAGTGAATGTTTTGTAGACTGCCATGAAGCAAGCCTTCTTAGTATTGCATCAGCAAGATTCAGCTAAGCCAGAGGCAGCAGTAAATCTCTTTAAAGAGCACTGCTTTGCTCAAACTTAATACACATGATGGACAGTACCCAGGAAGCAAACAAAGGAAAAGCAGTATTTACCCAAGACTCATGAAAATGTCCTAATTATTTCACAACCCCCCCCCCCCCAAAAAAAAAACAACAAACCCCCCCAAAACCCCAAAGACACAATTCATTCATAACAACACATTGCAAAAATATACCTGAGTTACCCTGAACTACATTCAGGTTTGGTTTTCTTTCTCTCCAAATCTTTCATATTGGGGAAGGAAATGAAGAAGAATGTACCCCAAATAAATCGCACATGCATCCACAACTCATCTGAGTTTACTTTTTTCAATACAATTCTTAAAGCACAAGCACTTAAATTCTTCCTTATCCCCCTTCAAACAACTTCTAACTCTCTTTCCCAAAGTGCTAGAATAAGTAAATTCCCAGACGAAAACATATTTCAAACTAGCTTGCTTGAGATTGCCCTGTCAATTCCTTTCTCATACATGTTCTTGTGGCATGTATTACAAAAAGGAGAGTCGGGGAGAAGGAAGGCCACAACAAAAAATTACAGCAGCTAATTGCTGCAGATGAATGCCAGCACTACCAATTCTAGTATGCATAGAAAAGCAAACAAGTAATTAACATGGGTGTTCCTTTCACTTACGGCAACACACAAGGCTAAGAATTTTCTGATACTTTAGGGAGTCCTGCTACTTAAATACGGAAGACTTGATAAACTACCTATCAGATGCTTAATAAAATACCCCCCCCCAAAAGTACATTATTAAAAAGTGCATTTGCATATTTAAACTGATCAAAGAGACTTATTCTGAGAGTCATCTCCCCCCCCCCCTTAGACTTGTTTGCTCACTTGTTCATTGCCTTGAGAAGCATGGTCAATTAGTATTCTGATGAATTAGCCAAGCCTCTGCTGCACCTCACAGCCACAAATCCATTAGAGGGATCAGTCTCCCTGATTATAGGCTTGATCTATTAAAGCTGTACCTCTCCTGTCACAGTGCTACAGAAGCAATTGCTCTATTGTCTCTAGGCTTTGCAAAAGTCTCTTGCAATTCCTTGTTATGCAACAACCCTATATACCTACATCTCACTAAAAACTAGAGCAAACAAGCTATTCCTTGAGCACTGAAAGTGAAGCAGCCCCATTTCCTGAGAACTCAATCTCAGAGGTAACTAATTGCTATCTAAGAGGTTATGACATCTTTCTCCTATCTTGATTCTCTAGCGTTGAATAGTACAATTCAGCTTATATTGCTGATAGGCCATGAAGATGATGAAGGGACTGGAGCATCTCTCCTATGAGGAAAGGCTGAGAGTGCTGGGACTGTTTCGCCTGGAGAAGAGTAGGCTCTGAGGGGGATATCAATGTACATAAATACCTGACGGGAGGGTGCAAAGAGGATGGAGCCAGGCTCTTTTCAGCGTTCCCAGTGGACCAGAGGGCATGGGCACGCACTGAAATGCAGGAGGTTCCCTCTGAAGATCAGGAAACACTTTTTTACTGTGAGGGCAACTGAGCGCTGGCACAGGTTGCCCAGGGAAATTGTGGAGTCTCTATCCTTGGAGATCTTCAACAGCCATCTGGACATGGTCCTGGGCAACTGGCTCTAGGTGGCCCTACTTGAGCAGGGGGTTGGACCAGATGACCTCCAGGTCCCCTCCAACCCCAACCATTCTCTGATGCTCAGCCAAGGCATGAATGACATTTCCCTCCCCTGCAAGCCCACCTTCACAAAACAGACATGTTCTTGCTAGTTTCGAGACGCAGCCCCTGTCCAGCTTACTTGAAATTAGCCAATAGGTGCAAAAATAGTTAGGTGTGCAGGGGAGGAAGGCATCAGGCAGACATATCCAGACAATTCAATCTCATAAGACATGTTTCTCCCTAGGAAACCAATGTAAGAGTGTTAAAGGGCAGTGTTAGCCCTTTAAAGAGCCGTGATAATCCCTTCTTGTTTCAGTGGGATAATGAACAATCATAGCACTGAGACTCACTGCTCTCTGTTGCAGAAAATTTCCCCTTAAAGTACCTGAAAAGGCATTTTGCACTCTGCACGCAAAGTACAAACTAAAGTTAGTTGCTACTAAAAATGCCACACTGGGATCAAATTGGTTTCCCACCTACTGGACTGGTTTCTCCGAACGCACCTGGAGTGAAACCACACAGGCTTAAGCTGAGAATTTACTTGCAAGTCCAGGCTCACTCAAAAGAACAGTAAACATATTTTATACCACACGCTAAAAAAACCCCTGGCTCACCAAGCAGCACAGCCACATGCAAAAATCCCACCTATGACATGCATTTATTTCTATCTCAAATACGAAGGGGGAAAAAAAAATGGTGTAACTAGCTATTAAATTCTAAAGTTGCCAACAAATGCACAGATGTACAAAGAAATTAATAGTACGCCTTAAAAACACTTCCCCAAACCAAGCATAAGATAAAGAAAGCCTCAACACAGTGATTAACTCGCAAAAGCAACTTGGACAGAAAAGCCCATTCTGCTAGATCAGAGTTTCTCATTTTAAATAACTTCAAGGAGTTATTAATAGCTCTGAACACAAAAAGTATTCATTTAACTGATGTAAAAACCCTTAAGTTTTTTGATAGGTTTCTCTTTCTTACTATCCCAAAGATGAATACACCTGTACTTTTAGGAACTGGAGAAAAAAAAAAAAAAATATTTTCAACACACCCTCCCCATATTACCTTCTGACTGGTTTCTCAGTCACTGGTTTTACTCCTTGACCCAAACTGGTATTAGAACCTAGCTCTTTTGTTTTCTAGATCAAGTAAAATGAGGAAGTATTATCCTGAAACATGGAAGCTGAGAGTTTCCCCCACCCCACTAATTTAAATTAATAACCAACGCTAATTTCAAGTATTAAGCAATACATGCTGGAATTTTTCCTCTTCTGTACTCACCTGTCCCTCAGCTGGTAATAGTGCAGAAGCAGAGTGGAGATGGCAATTTATAGGACACTGCCTCTTTTGAAAGCCAATCAAAACTTGACAGAAAGTAGGAGTTGTCCCACACCTTCCAAAAAAAAGGCAAGCAAAAAAAAAAAAAAAAAGCGTGCGCGTGAGAGCAGCAGCAGCCAGGGATATCACTTCGTTCACATTGGCTTGATTTTGAAATGTCTGTAACTTTGTGATAGGCAGAGGACTCTGAAGCTACGTAACCAGCTCCTTTAACTAACAGAACCATACAACCTAGGGTCATCTCTGAAGGACAGGTTTTAAACTAATTGGTTGCAATGCAAAGGATTAGTATAAGGCAAACACATGTTCAAATGTAAAGCAATAATATCCCTTGGATAGCAGGAGATTTCTGAGTTTTTTAAGAAGATTAAAGCACAGGGAGGGGGAAAAGAGGGAAAAAAAGAAACAGGTTCATAAAATGACGTTTAGCAGGTTAACTGCCAGCTGCTGTTCCTTTGCAAGATTTCCAAAGTGTTACATAAGCAGCAAGCACCTGTTGCTTATATATAAGACAAAAACATGTTTATAGAAACTAGTAGTTTCTTATGTATTAGTTATTAATAGAACATTATGGTGATAAGAAAGATAAAAAACTCATGGGTTTGGTCTGGAAAATCCCACAACAGTAAGCTTCAAAGAAAATGGGAAAGAGGGAGGAGAGAGAGGTAGGTCAGAACCAAACCCCAAATCTCCCACAGCATTTCTTGGGGCTGTGCAGCTGCTGAGATGCCACGGGATGCTGCTCCACAGAGCTAACCAAAGAAATCCAAAACTCGCTTCTTACAGAGAAAGTTAAGATACTCCCTAGGGCACAGGAACTCGCAGATTCCCAGCCACCAGTACTTTCAAAATGGCCAACATCCTCGGGCATATGGTCCGCACCAACGCACTAAACTCCAACCTACTGTTCTCAACTCACGTTTGCCTCCAAAACCACACGGTTTCTGCTTCAGACCTGAGGAAGGGCTTATGCACTGGCAAGCTCCTCTACTTTTTCCAACTGTACCAAGAAGAGCTGGAGTGGAAAGATACTGCCCGCCCTGGGCATCCAGAAGACGAAGCACATGCCTCCTTGCCTGTCCCAGGGGAAAGCCTTACTCCCTGGTGCCCAAGTGCTGCAACTGGAAAGCCCATCGGACCACCGCATTTTGGAGCGCCCAACCTGCAACAACTAAGGGATACTCTCGGCTCAACCAACAACTAATGCAGCCTGGATAGCTGGAACGACCAAAAGCCATCACACGTCCCCTGCTGGCATTTCCTCCGGTTTGGAGAGCCCCAAATTGGGGTAAGGGGACCCCGCATCCCTCCCTGCGTCCCCTGGCATGGCGGATGCACCAGGGCAGGGCAGGAGGGTGGCCGGGCTTGTGCTGTTCTCTCTGGCAGGCAGCCGTTGGCTAACCTCGGCGAAAATAACCTTGACGCACACGCAGAACCTCGCCGGCTCGCTTTACAGAGGTGACGCACGACGGCGGGATGACGCCGTACCCCTCGCAAAGCCCGCCAAGTAAACGGCACCAGCCCGAAACGTCGCTAGAAACCTGACCTCGGCGACCCAAAGGAAAAAAAAAAAAAAATAATAATTCAGATTGTACCAGCTGCTGAGCAGCGTGATAAGGCAAGCTCTGCGTTACAGCGGGCTGCCACGGATGAAGCGAGGAGGCTGGTGCCATCGCGTCAGCCCACGCCAGGTCTCTGGCGGGAAGCGGAACGCCTTGAAGACCAACGAGCAGCCCCCCCACACCCCCCCA